CTCTATATTCTGAATGCCCCTGGTCTGAATACTCCCCTCTGACTAGGGAGAGTACAGGACGAAAAGACTGTTTCCTAGCTGTGTGACCAATGACCGTCACTACACTGCTTTGGATTGGGGATCTATGAGTAAAAATGACTAACCAGCATGTTTACACTAGTTGCCTCCCTATCCCCAGACAAGAGTAGGCAGGGTGCCATAAAAAAAAAAAAAAAAAAAAAAAAAAATACTGTTTAAGAGTGCAGAATCACAAACCTGGAAGGTACACGAGGAAGAGTCCTTAAATGTCTGAGTTACATAGTCTGATGTTCTAATTTTATAGATGAGAACACTAGGGGTAAGTTCAGAGATGTAACGTAACCTGCCAAAGGCTATGCAGCTATCCAGAAGCAAAAACTTAGAATCATACTCCAAACTCTTTCCTCTATATCCCAACCACAACAAAAACCCAAGATCAAGGTTAAGGAAAATTTATAAGTAAATTAAGTAAAATATGTAAGCAGACAGGAAAAGTCTTCGGGATTGCTCTAGATTTTGAGACAGAATAAAGGCAATGTGTACAAGGAGAAACTGTTACTCAGTTCAACAGATGACAAGTAAGTATCAAGGATCTTTATTCTCAGACCTAATGTTCAATCTGTGACTGCAGATAACATGTCACTATTTTGAGAACACCTCCATTCTTTGCAAGTCTTCAGCCACAAGGTTACACCTTATTCGCACCATAACAAGATAAATGAATCAGACTGAAAGAGGATTAAGGAGATACACTGAAGATAAAAGCAAAAGGGAACAAACATTTTACAAGCTTATCATCCCAGTTACCCCAAAGGTTAAGTTTCAGATTTACAAGAGTAATGACAGAACCATATGATTTCAGTGAAAATCAACACAAGTTAGATCTTTAAAAAAAAAAAAAAAAAAAAAAAAGAGGGCAGGGGATCAATTCAGAAATACTAAGTCAGGCAAGCATGCAAACTTCAGAGTATAAAAAATGCAAGGCCTGGTTGTCCAAACAAACATATCCCTCAGAAGGTGGATTTGAAGATGCTATACAGAACCAAAAGCTGAAAGGGACACTTCTCTGAATTAGCAGACCAATTCCCTCATTTTTTAAGTGAGAAAAGAGGGCAGACAATAATTGGTGAAGCTCACATGGCTAGATTAAGGATGTACATAGATCTAATTCCTGGTGCTATTTGCAACTACATACATCTAAAATACAAAGAGATAAATATCCAGAACACATTAAGCCCACCGATTTTAAACTAAACATTTCAAGACAAATACACAGGGAGGGGGTGAATTAATACAACACAGCAGCACATCTCACATATTTAAGAGATTAAATGGAAAAAAGTAATCTCTCAAAAGATTTTAATGCTCAGTTTTGATAGTTTCCATCCAATTCTTTTATGTAGAGCAAATGTACTAGCTTAAAAAAACGTGCATTCTTCAGCTTTCTCCTATACTTTTTCTGCCTATCTTTCAAAACTAAGCACTGAGTAATTTTCAACTTAAGTAATGTGATTTTATATGTACACACTTTAATTGCACGTTTTAGGAATAAAATAAATCCATATTTTGTAACTCATAGTGTATTTATAAAATGAAAAGCTTTCTATCAAAATACACTTTTCACTGGGAAAAATAAATAAAACAGACGAATGGATCTACACAAAGTAAAAATTAACTCTGGTAGATTTCAGTGTAGGACAGTCCATAACAAGCCTATTTGCCCTTTTTCCCCCAGAGCTGCTCATCTTCCGACTTAAGATTTTAAAAATATTTTTAATTGAGATTATGTTGACATTTTCTCATTCCACATCATCTTCAGCCAAGCTCTGAGCACTTACAATTCTCTGAAAAAGAAAAAAAAAATTTAATTTTTAAAAGTCCTTTGTAGGAGGCAAGAATATCCAATGGAAAAAGACAGTCTCTTCAATAAATGGTGTTGGGAAAACCGTACAGCTACATGCAAAAGAATGAAACAGGACCACTTCCTTACACCATGCACAAAAATAAACTCAAACTGGATTAAAGACCTAAACGTGAGACCTGACACCATAAAACTCCTAGAAGACACAGGCAGTAATCTTCTTGGACACTGGCCTTAACAACATTTTTCTAGGTATGTCTCCTCAGGCAAGGGAAACAAAAGCAAAAATAAACTACTGGGACTACACCAAAATAGAAAGCTTGTACATGGCAAAGCAAACCAACAAAATGAAAAAGCAACCTAATGAATTGGAGGACATCTGTAAATGATATATCTAATAAGGGATTAACATCCAAAATATACAAAGAACTCATACAACTCAACACGAGGAAAAAAACCTAATAATCCAATTAAAAATGGGCAAAGGACCTAAATAGACATTTTCCCAACAGACACATGAGAAGATGCTCAACACCATTAATCATCAAGGAAATGCAAATCAAAGCACAATGAGGTATCGCCTCACACATGTCAGAATGCCCAGAATCATAAAGACAAGAAATAACAAGTGTTGGCGAGGATGTGGCGAAAAAGGAACACTCATGCACTGTTGGTGGGAATGCAAACTGGTGCAGCCACTGTGGAAAACAGCAAGAAGGTTTCTCAAAAAATTAAAAAACAGGAATACCGTATGATCCAGTAATTCCACTGCTGGTTATTTACCCAAAGAAAATTGAAAATACGGGGCACCTGCGTGGCTCAGTCGGGTAAACGTCTGCCTTCAACTCAGGTCATGATCCCAGTCTGTATCACTCCCTGCACGTGCTTTTCCCTCTCTCTTTGCCCCCCAGTCATGCCTGCTCACTCGCTCTCTCTCCCTCTAGTGCTCTCTCTCTCCAATAAATACAATCTTAAAAAAAAAAAAGAAAGAAAAAAATAAAAACAGTAATTCAGAAAGATGTATGCACCTCTAGGTTTACTGCAGCCAAGATATGGAAGCAACATTAGTGTCCATCAATGGATGAACGGATAAAGAAGTGGTAAACATATACAATGGACTATTATTCAGCCATAAAGAATGAGATCTTGCTATTTGCAACATGGATGGACCTAGAGGATATTATGGTAAGTGTTATTTCACTAAGATAAACACCATCTGATTTCACTTATATGTGCAATCTAAAAACCAACAAATGAACAAACACAAAAAGGAGAGAGAGACCCATACCACCAAACTGGTGGTTGCCAGAAGGAAGTGGGTGGGGGCAAAATGAGTCAAGGGGAGTGAGAGGTCCAGGCTTCCAGTTATGCAAGGATAAAAAGTTATGGGGATAAAAAGTACAGCATAAGGAATATAGTCAATGATCATGCAGTACCACTATATGGTCAGACAGGTAGTATCAACACTTGTGGTGAGCAGACCATAATGTACAGACTTGTCAAATCAGTAAGTTGTACACCTGAAACTAATATAAAATTGTGTGTCCACATACTTCAATTAAAAAAAATTTTTTAAGGGAAAAAAAATGTCCTTTGTATACAAAGAATCAGATCTTGCTAAAGTTTACCCATTCTGAGATTTCAATATTTAACACTTCTAAACACTGTTATCAAAGAAAATAATGATCACACTACTGTTAGTAGCATTTCAAAATCCAAGGAGAGATACATTATACTGTTTTACATGTTAATCAATTATGTAACTAAAACCAAAAAAATTCAAGGTATCTTTTCACTCCCATATAAACTAAGAATACTGATTAACACTTTACTAGTCATTCTATGCTCCTAACACTTCCCTTTCTGGTTTGAAAATGCTCAGTCATCATACAAGAAGGAATACAGTAATTCCAAAATTCGCATTTGAAAATATTTCCAGATAACATAAGTTAACTGAGTAAAGGAGGCCATTTTTATAAAGAGGAGTTCAGGTTTCATCCTGAACTCATCCACATTTCAGAAGACCTCACACCCTCAGGTCCATCTTCCAAAGGCACTATGCTATGCTGCCTTTCCAAGAGCATATAATATTAAACAGAAGATTCTGATTTAGATAGACCAGGAACCATATTAGTCTAAGTAAGAAGGATTAAGACCAAATCTTTAGTTTTATCAACTCTTTCCCTTAAATCTTTGGGGCCTTTATTTTCTCTCCAGTCCCTTTCCAATCTGAGTAAAGATCAGTTTGAAGAATTAACCAATTATAGGGGCGCCTGGGTGGCTCAGTCGGTTAAGCTACTGCCTTCAGCTCAGGTCATGATCCTGGAGTCCCACATCGGGCTCCCTACTTGGTGGGTAGTCTGCTTCTCCCCGACCCTCCCCCCTTCTCATGCTCTCTGTCTCTCAAATAAATAAAATTTTAAAAACCTTAAAAAAAAAAAAAAAGAACCAATTTTAAATCACACCAACTGTGGAAATTAACACACGAATAAACAAACTATTACAAAAAATAGATTCATTTTGGTTCCTTGGAAAAAATTAAAAATGAACAAAATGCACTTTAATGAATTAAGTTATATATATTCTTTTATACAAATGGTGTTGTGTTCAATATAGATTGGAGATGTAGTCAGATAACTCCAAGCTCAAAGCCCACCTTGGCAGAAGCAGAGGCACTGGGGCCTTTAGACAAGTGAGGTCAGAGGGTATCCGCAATCCTTTATGATCTAATTTCAGGCTATGACATCTCAGCCCCCTATGCCAGGCCACATAACTGAATGCATGGGCTCACAAGAGTCGATAGAAAGCTAGTTTCAGAAAGTAGCTGAGAGTGGCCTGAATTTTGGTATTTGAATACCAAGGGCTGAGATTTCATACTATGAGACGAACGTATCCTGATCCACACGTAGGGCACAATGACTAAATCTTATGCTCACTCACTCCAATATTCTTAGGAAAAGAAAAATTTCAAGCACTGCTATCTCCAATTCTACTTTGATTCCAAGGAATGAATGGGTTTCATAATTTCATCATGTTCACTAGACTAATTTTTAAATGTCAATGTCCCTAAAACATTGAATTCTCAGATTCTACTCACTTTTTTAACGTTTCAAATCCTTACCTGACTAATTGTTGGAAGTTTGGTCAGAAGCATCTGGAACACGGGTGGTGGAAGAGTTTGCTGTAACACCTGGAGCAACTGCTGTGGTTGTCCACACACAGCAATTGCATTTGTCAGATGGTCTACACCTTTCTCATATTCGCCTGAAAGATTTACATAAAAATAACATGTGACCTGAAAAGCCTTTGCCTTTGTCAAAAATTCAACTCTAAAGCCTTCACTGTATCTCCAAGCGATACTGACCAAAAACATCACACAAGTAAAAACTTGGAAATAATCTACAGTACATTCATAGAACTGAATATTATAAGAGCATTAACAAAAACGAATCAGATCACAGGTACTAATATGAAAGTGTCTTCAAAACACATACAAAAAGGGAGAAATTAAAGTGCAGAAATGTCCAAATATATTACTATTTATAAACTTAGAATATTTCTGAAAAATTATGTAAGAAATTGCTAATTATGGGGTGCTTGGGTGGCTTAGTCGATTAAGTGTCTGCCTTCGGCTCAGGTCATGATCTCACGGTCCTAAATCAAGTCCCACATAGGGCTCTCTGCTCATCGGGGAGCCTGCTTCTCCCTCTGCCTGCCACTCCCCCTGCTTCTGCTCGCGTACACTCTCATTCTGTGTCAAATATATAAAATCTTAAAAAAAGAAACTGCTAACTATGGAACACTATTTTTCTGAAAAGAACTGGAAGACTGGGGATTGAGGTGGAAAGGAGGCCCAAATTCACTTTAGATTAATCCCTTATATTATTTTGAATGTTATCACATGCAAATTCAAAAAAGGAAAAAAAAAATCTTTTTAAGAAAGTGATGCTAGTAGGAAAAAGTCATACTAACAAGTGGCAAGAAGCAGGTAACAAAATAGCAATTATCTCTGAGTGGTAGGATTTTCTTTTAATTTATCCTACAATGGACACCAAGTCTTCCAACCCTGAATAAGAACGTGACCATATAAGGGACTGAAGAATGGTATATGAAGAAGAGGCATTGCTTGCTGTAACATTTCACTTGAGAAAATCTAAGGACTGAGGTATTCAAACTGAAGAAAGCAGAACTCTACAAAGCATTAAAAATGGAAAATACAGGGCGCCTGGGTGGCTCAGTTGGTTAAGCGACTGCCTTCGGCTCAGGTCATGATCCTGGAGTCCCGGGATCGAGTCCCGCATCGGGCTCCCTGCTCGGCAGGGAGTCTGCTTCTCCCTGACCCTCCTCCCTCTCATGCTGTCTCTCATTCTCTCTCTCTCAAATAAATAAATAAAATCTTTAAAAAATAAAAATAAAATAAATAAATAAATAAATAAAAATGGAAAATACAAAAGACTTCGTTCTTTCTGCATGGGCTTGGACCTCCAATGGGGGGATACGATGGCTCCAATGACTTGGAAATTAAGATGCCACTTGGCCACTGAATCCTCATACCACTGAATTTACAGGCAATATAAGGGATTACAACACTGTTGCCTGGGGATATTAATTCTGATTATTAAATGGAAACAGAGCTGCTTCTGGATTGTTATGTGTAGAACACAGGATCCCAAGACACCACCTAACATTTCTAAATACACTGGCAACAGTTAATGAACCACCACAGCAACTCAATGCAGTTTCCGCTCTGCACTTGCAGACCTGGGCCCGTTCACATCATCCTGAGATGAGATCTGGCTCAGTTAAAAGAATTATGCTTATGGGGCGCCTGGGTGGCTCAGTTGTTAAGCATCTGTCTTCATCTCAGGTCATGATCAGAGTCCTGGGATCGAGCCCTGCATCAGGCTTTCTGCTCAGCAGGAAGCCTGCTTCTCCCTCTCCCACTCCCCCTGCTTGTGGTTTCTGCTCTCGCTGTGTCTCTCTCTGTCAGATAAATAAATAAAAGAATCTTAAAAAAAAAAAAAAAGAATTATGCTTATGGAAGACCCCCAGATGGAGGAGACCGCCAACCAACGAAGTTCACTGCCTAAATCACTCATGCTTTCACATGACTTACTCTGATGTTGACTTTTTCCCTAAATCTAACCACCTCAGGTTCGGTTGGTAGTTTCCGTAAGAAAGGCAGCTTGACAGAGTTAAGTAACCCTCTGCACAGTGCTGAGCTAAAGTGTGGAACGTGAGCTTGGGAAAACGAGTAACTCTTGCCTATCCTTCCCTGGCCTTCCTCCCAGCCACCATGAGTTACTGTCCTTCTCAATCTGGAGCTGACAGCTAAGTCAACAGATGGCCACAATGCACAGATCTCCAAGACAATCCAAACAGAAGTTATTATGAGTGTACTTTTTTCTAATATGTTCGACTGTGAGTAAAATAATTTAAAATAGTGATTCTTGGGGTGCCTGGGTGGCTCAGTTAGGCATCTGCCTTCGGCTCAGGTCATGATCCTGGGGTCCTGGATCAAGCCCCACATCGGGCTCCCTGCTAGGCAAAAATTCTGCTTCTCCCTCTCCCTATGCCCTGCTCGCTCTCCCTCTCTCCCAAATAAGTAAAATCTTAAAATAAATTAATTAATTAAAAGTGTTTCTATTTTGAAAGAATATTTTGATAGTATCAAATAGACCTTTATTTATGAGCATAAACAAAATATTTTGAGAATGTTTGCATGAAATGAAATACTACAACCTCTATCTTCGACACATATTCCTATATATGCAGCTTTCTTTTCAAATATTAAAGTAACAGAGTCTCTCAAACGAGGTCTATGAAGATTTAAGTGCTTTACTATTACCCCATGATTAAACCTCAGGTTTCTGGGGCGCCTGGGTGGCTCAGTCGTTAAGCGTCTGCCTTCAGCTCAGGTCATGATCCCAGAGTCCTGGGATCGAGCCCCACACTGGGCTCCCTGCGTGGCTGGAAGCCTGCTTCTCCCTCCTCCCACTCCCCCTGCTTGTGTTCCCTCTCTCGCTGTCTCTCTCTGTCAAATAAAATCTTAAAAAAAAAAAAAAAAATCATTATAAACCTCAGGTTTCTTATTGTTATGGGGTAAAAAGGCCAAAATTGTTTTCTAGTAAGGCATTTCCATTTTTATTTATAAATATTATCAGCCTACTATGCCATCCAAATAAGATAACTGTTTCCTAAAGAAAAAAGCAAAGCAAGAAATTACTGGGAAGGGGGAGACAAGACAAAAAGTAACATGTCACCACCACCTCAAACCTTTAATCCTTTCCATAAAAACAAATAAAAAACCACAAATGACCTACATCATGTATTTCTAAATCTTTTTTTTTTTTTTAATTTTATTTATTTTTATTTATTTGACAGAGAGAGACACATTGAGAGAGGAGCACAGGCAGGGGGAGTGGAGGAGGGAGAGGCAGGCTTCCCGCTGAGCGGGGAGCCCGATGCGGGGCTCGATCCCAGGACCCTGGGACCATGACCCGAGCCGAAGGCAGACGCTTAACGACTGAGCCACCCAGGCGCCCCTACATCATGTATTTCAATACTATCTAAATCTATGATACAGCAATGATCATAAGAAAATTTGACACCTAGTATCGTTTTTATTAATGATAGCAAATACCTCAAAGTTACTTTTGAAATAAAAGCTAATTTGGGTGGTGCAGTCAGTTAAGCATCAGACTCGACTTCAGCTCTGGTCATGGTCTCAGGGTCCTTGGATGGAGCCTGAGGGCTCTGCACTGGGGCGTGGAACCTGCTTTAAGACTTTTTCTCTCCCTCTCCTTCTGCCCCTTCTCCTACCCCCAGAGTCCCCTGCGCACACACACTGTCTCAATAAATAAATCTTTTAAAAATAAGTAAAAGCTGGGGCGGCCTGGGTGGTTCAGTCCACTGAACATTTGCCTATGGCATAGGTCATGATCCCAGGGTCCTGGGATTGAGCCCCGCATCAGACTCCTTGCTCAGCGGGGAGCCTGCTTCTCCCTCTGCCTCTGCCCTGATCGCTCCCGCTGCTTGTGTGTTCTCTCTTTCTGTCAAATAAATAAAAATCTTTAAAAATAAATAAAAGCTCATTTGTCACTAAAAATTTATAAATACATTTAAGACTAAATTACTGAATTATAGTTCTCAAATATGTCAGTTTCATCATTTTAACTTCACTAATAGTAATGTTTTAAAAAAAGAACCTTAATCCTTAATTGAATATGTAAAGCACAAAGCCTAAACTCTAGATCAGATTCAGATCACTGGCTGGTCCTGAAATCAAGCACCATGAACTCACTGTGTGACCCTGACACGTAAATTAACCTTCTCTGGGACTTGTATTAGCCATTCCTTCCTATAAACATTAGAAAAGACCTGAAGATTAAATGAAGAAGTAGTATATGCCTAGATCACACTCCTTCAGTTACTATTTACATATTGCAGAGAGAGACCGAGGCAAGGCTCCACCTCAGGACCCCGAAGTCATGACCTGAGCCAAAATCAAGAGTCAGACGCTTAACCGACTGAGCCACCCAGGTGCCCCTAGAGCCACTCTTAAATGAAATAATTTTCTCATCAGTAAATGACTTGTCTTGAAATATTTGGAGTAACTTTTTTAAAAGCTGCTACACTACACCAAAAAAAGCCCCTTATCACCATAAATTTAGAGTTACTGTGAAGAATTCTAATTTCCTCATCTTTTAATGACCTACCTTGGGCTAGCAACTCTTCACCAAGCTGTATTTCTTCAAGGAAGAATTTCTGAACAGCTTCAGCATCTTTAAGGTCAGGTAACTGTTTGGAAATACAGTAGTTAATAACTGATACCAAAATTATGCTGGGGACATAACCAATACACAGAAGATCATGCTACTAAAAACAAAACAACAAAAAACTAACTCATTATAAAAAATGATAAAAAGAAACCTACTCTTCAATACTTACAAGCATTAGTTTAGTATCTACATTTAAATGAATATAAGAAAAAAATACTTATGGATCAAACTGATACTAGAACAGTTCTCAGAAGGCTGTACATCAAACCTAAAGTAAAAAAATGAATACAATTCTCTATCATAAAATAGGCACTTTACTATTTATACTATTTTGATTACCATTTTTATATTTTTATGTAACTGTAATCAACTTTCTTCTGACCCAGTATTATTTTGTATAGATTTTACTGCATCTAAAAGATTATTTTTAAGTAGTAATAGAATATTCCATTGAGAAATAGGATTGCTTAATCATGATCTATTTGTTGCACATGAACTACTTCTAAATTTTTTTTGCTATTACAAAGCAGCTTTATTTAAGTAGGTTTGCATTTCTTGTTTTTGTTTCATAGTTTGTTACATATTACCAGACTATGGTAACATATAATGCCATCGGCTATATGACTTATTAAAAAACATAAACCTACTATTAAAAAAATCCTATTCTTTTAAAAAACCTAGACTTCTATTAATGGAAGTTTTTGGTTCCTGATTAGTATTATATACACTCTCATTACCAACACAGATGCAAAAATTTAGATTTCTGAAAGTAGAGGCATCTGTCATCAACTATCCCAGCACAGGCAAGAATTTGATTATTCTTGAATCTAAAAATACACACTGATGCATGTCTGTATCTACCTTCCCAGGTCCTTAGAAAGAAAAGGCTACTGAAACACTACGAACATGTATTTCAGAAAGGTAGTGTAGACATAAGAGAACAAAATGGTTGACTCTTAGTTTCACTATTACTGTGTCCAGTCACTTAGCTGTGTTAATTAATTACCTGATTGTTTCAAAATAACAAAATGTAACATTTTCTGATATAATTTTTCTTTGCCTCAACTTACTTTAGAAAGAACCAATACTGGGTCACCTGGGTCGCTCAGATGGTTAAGCGTCCGCCTTCGGCTCAGGTCATGATCCCAGGGTCCTGGGATCGAGCCCCACATCCGGCTCCTGGCTCAGCGGGGAGCCTGCTTCTCCCTCTCCCTCTGCCTCTCTCCCTGCTCATGCTCTCTCTCTCTCTGTATCTCTTTGTCTCAAATGAATAAAAAAAAAAAAAAGAACCAATACTGATCCTGTAGTCCAAGTCCTGGGAATCCAGACAATGGAACTAATTTTAATAAAAAAGAAAAGCTATATGTGCAATGATTAACATTTACTTACTTTACTTACACATGTCACAGAACATTTTTTTATCAAGCAGAAAAACCTATGTAGTCATTAAAAATAATCATGAACATAGGATCTATGAAAAGAAAAAAGATTTTTATCTACATGTACATATAACATCAAGGTAAAAAATTTGCCATGTGGTAGGATTCTGGATCAGTGGTATGAATAATCCTATATAACTTTTGAAACAAATAGCATGTGGTTCTTTTAAAAGAAGCTGAAGGAAGGAAAATTAAATTAATGTTTTATTGTATTATTTTGAAGCAGCTGAGTGAGAAAGCTTGAACCGTTTGGTAGAATTGTCTTCTGGAGACTATCAGCTTATTTCCCCTTAAATATTGCTCATGTAATAAGTTGTCTGCTATTTGGGCCAAGAAGGGGGAAATAATGATGGACCAGACAATCTGCAGTTGAACTGAATAAACTATTCCAAAAAAAAAAAAAAAATTGTATTTTAAAATAGAAAATCAATGCCTGGTATCAACTAGCTTTCTCAAAACACACTTGAGGTAGATTTTAAAATCGTTATTTCTATAACATATATAAATACAATATAAACAAAAAAACAGATTACCTTGCAAAGTCCAGCTCTCTCCTTGGCAAGCTTTTGTTTCTTTCTTCCTGCAAGAAATGGAGTATTTTCATTTTACCATTATTAAAATGGGAATCAAAAGAAGTCAAACTGCTGTGGCAGTCATTCATTCTATTTGTAAAACATCCCAGAGTAGGGCTCTCCTATTCTCGTCTCCTTGTGATTTGTCAGGGTCTGAGTTCCGGTCAATGAGCCATGGACAATATGACATTTCTGGGCAAGAGCTTTTTCCTTCCCTCTGGGGCACCAAGATCAGCAATTTTGAAGATGGAGACAATTCTAACAAGTGATTAATTGCCATAAGCACAGCAAGCCCCGCCCCAGCCCCCAGCTACACAGGACATGAAACACAAGCAAGAATTAAACCACAGCTGTTAGAAAGTTTTATTACTGAAATATAACAGGTTCAATCTTTACTGAAAGTTGAAAGCTATCTGACATTCCTAAATGAGAAAAAAGGGGGTAGGAAGACAGTATTCAGAAATGCACCGCAGGGGCACCTGGGTGGCTCAGTCGTTAAGTGTCTGCCTTCCACTCAGGTCATGATCCCAGGGTCCTGGGATAGAGCCCCGCGTCCGGCTCCCTGCTCTATGGGAAACCTGCTTCTCCCTCTCCCACTCCCCCCTTCTTGTGTTCCCTCTCTCGCTGTGTTGTGTCTCTGTCAAATAAATAAAGTCTTTAAAATTTTCTTTAAAAATTTTTTTAAAAAATGCACTGCAAAATTCTTAACTACTGCTGGCTGGTTAAGAAAAAAACCCTCTGCCTACACTCTGTAAACTGTTTAGTTTTTTGTCTTGTTTTTGATTCGAAAAAGCAACACTACATATCTCAAAAGTAAGTGATGTTTAAAATCTTAAAACCCTTAAGCCAAATCAATAAAGGACACTAACAATATTTTAAATTGCTATAGGGGCTCCTGGGTGGCTCAGTTAAGCTTCTGACTCTTGGTTTTGGCTCAGGGCATGATCTCAGGGTCATGGGATGGCCTGCGTTGGGCTCTGCACTCAGTGCAGTCGGTTTGTCCCTTTCCCTCCACCTCCGGCTCCTCCCCCCTCCCACAGGCTGAGCTGTTCTCTTTCTCAAATAAATAAAATCTTTAAAAACTTTTCAAAAAGTAAAAAATAAATTGCTATTTAATGATATACTCCATTTGAAAGGGTGTTAGCACAGGGGAAGCTCAAGCTTGTTTTATATCCCAGCTCTTCTTAGTGTCAGTGGGACCTTGGGCAAGTTAGAGTAACCTGTACCTCACTTTCCTCTTATATAAAACTGGCCTAAGAATGATACATGCTTCACAGAGCTGCTGTGAAGATTAAATGAGTTAATGCATGTAAAGTATTTTTTAACAGTGTCTGATTTATAATGTACCGTATGAGGAGTTGGTAATGAACTACTTCAGCAAGTATCTGGTATTAAGATAGTTCACTACCAGCAACTCGGCTAAGGAGTTGTGCTATGCTAAGTATCTAAAGTTTCCCAAGTCACTAAAACGTACCAGTAACATGGAGACTGTGGCATAGCTAAAAACGTTAAGGCTCTAATACTTATTACCTGGGTGATCTCTGACAAATAAATCTCTTAAGCTCTCTAAAGATAAGGCACGTTTAACCACCACTGTGAGAAACAAAAGCTTCATAAAACAAGCAAATGTCCTCTGAAAACCTTAAAGTGTTCTACAAATTCAAGTCTCAATCAATGCATGACTAGAGACAGTGACCTGTTTGCCTAACTGCAGTGAGATGGGTTAATTTACTGTGGTCCAGGAAACTTATCTACCCTAACAAACTGGGTTTAACCACACCCATACCTCTTGCCAACTCCAACCCCCAAAACACCTAAAGTGCTACAACTCTAAGGCTTAAATACAATTCTAGCAGTTTCAACCACAAAAAGTACATTAAATAAGCTGATCTTATACATAGACTTGAAGACTGCCTATTTTTCTAACAAACTACCTTTCCTAAGTATTCACCTTCAGGCAACTAACTGTAGGGAAACAGAACCGTAACATTCTACCCTCAATTTGTTTAAGGTTTTCATTTGGCCGTTCTTAGGCAGAAAATAATGAATGCTACCATACTAGGTTAACTAATTACTGAATTTCACTAGTGCCAGAAGGAGACTACTAAGACTCTGGACATGGACGACTTCACAGAGGCAGCAGACATGAAGATAAAGGAACACTGAGATGTTAAGATTAAGCACCCAGTGGGGCGCCTGGGTGGCTCAGTCGCTAAGCATCTGCCTTCGGCTCAGGTCATGGTCCCAGGGTCCTGGGATCGAGCCCCGCATCAGGCTCCCTGCTCTGCGGGAAGCCTGCTTCTCCCTCCCACTCCCCCTCTGTTTGTATTCCCTCTCTCGCTGTCTCTGTCAAACAAATAAATAAAATCTTAAAAAAAAAAAAGATTAAGCACCCAGTAAGTTTTAGATGCTACAGGGTCAGACACTATTCTAAAGGTTATTAATTTGCTTACTTGATCATCACAGTAACACTAGAACAAGTACTATCATGATCTCCATTTTACAGACGAGAACATTTACCAAGGTCACAACTAATAAGTGGTAGAGGGGCAATTCAAAGCCAAGCAGCTGAGTTTCAGAACATGTGCCCTCAAACATAATTCCGTATTGCCACCGCACGCTGTAGAAAAGCTGTAAGAATGTGGACAATACTGACTCTGTCTTTGGCCTTCCATCTTGTTCCTGTGCACTGGATGACCTCTCTTGGGGCTGTTATGTTCCAGGTCCCTTGGAGATTCCTGTACGTATCTTAGAGAGGCCCAAGGCCACGACTGGGGGAGGCTTTCTTTGGCCTCCCATGAATCCGTGAGAGATAACAGTCTCTCTCCTTCCTGATGCACAGGTAGTGCCACAATAGCTAATAAAAGGATAGCTGTCATTTAGGTGCTTGCGTGCAAATCCTTTGATCCTGCAACAATGCTCTTCTGCTAGTGCCCTCACTCTAGAAATGTGGACCAAGGTCTGGACTTTATGGAGAGTAACTGTGCAGCTGGATCATCTGCCCACTCCCCCGTCAGTAAGTTACGCTATATAAAACTGTAAACTGTATGGAGTCACCTGCTTCATTTTCCAGTCTCAAAGTGCCTTCTCAGTTTGGGAAATACTTCACTATCCCTCTGCTACCTTCTAAGAGAAGTGAAGACATTCCCATAAAAATAAAAGGCACCTCAGAAATGAACATGGCAAGTCTGTGGAATAAACAGAGAAATACAGTTTGCTAAACCAGATCTATGGAAAATGACAATAATGATGAAACCCAATAGAGAGAAACTTAGTTTCCATTATTATCCAATCTTAGAGTTTTTTTTTTAATGTGGTGGGTGGAGAGTGATCGTTTTTGAATGTTTGATACAATTACCAAATTTTAAGATTGATTAGTTGCTTTAAATTTCTAGCATAAGATTAAAATTCTAGCTTTAGTTTCATAAGACAATCTACTTGTTACCTTATCAGTTATTATACTATCTCTGTAATAAAGTGAAAGATGGTAACAGACTGCAAAATCATGGAGTTAAACATTCAATGAGCAAAATTAAACCCTGACTCATCAGTATTTACTAGAAATCAGTCCCAAGTGCTACTGTGTAAACCTAACAAGTTAAAACAGACTTTGTCTACTTTCAAAAATACACATAAAACATGAACTTACAGATTGCAGAATTACTCTGAATACAAGTTTTACTTCCTAAAGAAAAGGTCAAATAATTATATTCATAAATAATCTATAGCATCCATCAATTACCATGTGTCAGGGACTTTATACTAAACTCCCTATGTATTACAACATTTTACAAAAGAGGGAAACGAGGGGTGCCTAGGTGGCTCAACTGTTAAGCGTCTGCCTTTGGCTCAGGTCATGATCCCAGAGTCCTGGAATCGAGCCCCGCATCGGGCTCTCTGCTCCGCGGGAAGCCTGCTTCTCCCTCTCCCACTCCCCCTGCTTGTGTTTCCTCTCTCGCTGTCTGTCAAAAATAAATATATAAAATCTTTAAAAAAAAAAAAAAAGAGGAAAACTAAAGCTTTAAGTCGCTCACCCAGGGTTACTCAGTTCATCATTCATGCCTGTCAACTGAGATCATGAGGCCACTGCAAACGTTAGAAAAAAATTCATGGACTGAAGATGACGGAAAAGGGATTTTGAAAATAATCTCTCAATTTGTTTAAAATGACAGCTTCTATGATTTCTTCAACCAAAAACGAGTTTTCTCAAGATTTCTAACAATAGATTGCAGTGTTTCCAAAGGAAGAAAGGATTAATCCATTCTTTACTGCGCTCTGTAGCTATGCCACCACCACCACCCCTCCAGCTATTATTGAAACTACCAAAAAATGATCTGAATTTCTAGCTATGCTTACAGCCAGCATTAAGATAATCACGCCTTCCTAAAGTCCCGGCTTTAATAACTTGGGTATCAATTTTAATGCTATTTTTTAAAGATTTCTTTATTCTAAAGAAATTGCACAAGTGGGGAGAGGGGCAAACGGGGGGGGGGAGCAGACTCCCCGCTGAGCAGGGAGCCCCATGCGGGGCTCAAACTCACGACCCTGACATCATGACCTGAGCTGAAACCAAGTCGGATGCTCAACCAAACAAGCCACCCAGGTGCCCCTCACTTTTAATTTTAGACATTATTTTGACCGAGCAACCTAGATAGGTACAAAATTATTTATCTCAACAAATTTACTCTTCCACTGCTGCGAATAAGGCCTCCGAAATTCAAAAACCACAATGGTTTTGGTGACATGATTTCCCTCATGTGAACCTCTCTTAAAAGATGTCGCAGGTATGAAATAAGACTGAGCCACAGGAGAAGCGCAGCCCTTTGGACTCCCCTGCAATTTCTATAGCATTCACTCATATCTTGGAAGCATTTTCAGGGAAGCTACCAAGGGGGTTTAAGAATGCAGCAACGATACCGTTGATTTACGGATCTGGTTTCAAGCACAAATTCGTAAAAGACAAAACACACGACTTCGAGTTAAGGAGAAAGGTTTAAAAAGGTGAACGGCAAAAAGAGCCCCCCCCGCCCCCCACACACACACCGAAATTACAATACAAACGAGAGCGCGTTCAGACGACAAGCGGTTGGGGAAGACAAAATGGGAAAAATCGTCCCTCCAAAATGGAGGGAATCCTGCAGGGCACCAGAGCCGGGAGCGACACCGGGAGCGCGCAGCCGGCGCCGCCGCCTTTTTCTGCCGGGCACCCCCGACTCCCCCCACGGCCCCGCGAGTGGGCAGCGGGGAGCAGGCACGCGGAGGCGGCCGCGGCGGCGAAGGACAGGCGGGCGGACGCTGCGGGCCCGGGGCCGAGGGGACCCACTCACGTTCTCGAAGCCTGTTCTTGAAGTTGGGGTCACTCCGTCTCTTGCGGTCGAAGTAAATGCAGTACCCGATGAAAAGAGCCCCGCAGACACCCGCGGCGATGGCGCTGTTCCGGCCCACCATCTTCCCTCGATCGCGGAGCAGCAGCGAGCGCGGCGGCGTCGGGGCCGGCGAAGAAGCAGTTGGCCGTGAACCCTCGGCGCGGACCACGCCACTGCGCCCTGACGCCCGCCGCGAGGGACGCGGAAAGGCCGAGCGCACGCACTTCCGGCCCCAGCAGCGCGAGGTCCTCCGGCACGTCCGCGGCAGTGCCTGAGCAGCGGAGCCCGCGCCGCTTCTGCGCCTGCGCAGGGGGTTAGGCGCGGCCGCCCAGGCGCCTCGGGGTGGGGTGTGCGTTGGTGTCAGGGTTTGTGGGGGATCTCGCCCTTCCTCAGAAGCCGCTGAGCGTGACGTAGCGAAGGTGGTGCGTGGCCGTCGTGTCCATACTCTAAAGACTCGGTAGCTGACGTTCTTGCTGTGTCAAACAGATGGAAGGGGCTGACGACAAATGCTTCTTCCTACTCTTGTATAATAAAGGCAACTTGTGCCTCGTTTGAATGGAACTGAGATTGCTCACAATCTGTGCAGCAAGCACCATAATCTAGTGATTCAGTGTCAAAGAATATTACAATATAGTTTCATGAGGGGTGGAAGAAAATTAAGCTGAGCGAATATTGGGAAAAAAACGGATAAAAGATTGAAAAAAATTGAAAACATGAGTTGTCTTACAGTCTCTGGAAATATATGGTAGTTTGAATTTAAAAGACACGGCCACGTGGGTGGCTCAGTTAAGCAAGTTAAGCAAGTCGGCCTTCCACTGGGGTCATGATCCCAGAGTCCTGGGATGGAGACCAGCATGGGGCTCCCTGCTCAGTGGGGAGTCTGCTTCTCCCTCTGCTGCTTCTCCCCCCTGCTCATGCTTGCGCTCACTCGCTCTCGCTGAAATAAATAAAATCTTTAAAAAAATAAAAAGACAAAACCTTGGTCAGAAAGCAGACATAAAATAACTTTACAAATTGAGAGGGGTAAGAGAAGGCACATACAAGGATGTGTAATAAAAGTGGCTGCCTCTGTCCCCAGTCTTAGGGAGGGATAGGCGTGACAGCCATGGCTCTTACTCATGGTGAGTCCTGACAGATTATGCTAAGCAGTCCCCTGGTGATGGGGGCTGGCCAGGCCAGAAAGACCAACATTGTGGTTAGAGGGTTGGGACTTTGATCTAGGTGATACCCCTGGGGAGGAAGGGAATTAGAGGGGAGGAGAGCTGGAGATTCACGGCCTACATAATGAAACCCAAATAAAAACTCAGGACGCAGAAGCGGGTGAGCCTCCCAGGTTGGCAATACTCTGTGTAGTGTCTACACCAATGTGCCATGTGCTAGGAGGGTGAGGTGTTCTGACTCCACTGGGAGGGGACAACAGAAGCTTCAAGTGTGGGACTCTCCCAGACTTCTCCCTGTGTGTCTTTCCCTATGGCTGGTTTGGTTTTTATTTTTTGGTATAATAAAATTGTAATCCTAAGTGTAACATGTTCCTGGGGCATCTGACTGGCTCAGTCAGAGGAACATGCGACTTGATCTCCCAGTGGTGAGTTCCAACCCCATGTTGGGTATAGAGATTACTTAAATAAAACTTAAAAAGATAAGTGTAGGGGCATCTATGTGGCTCAGTCAGTTAAGTGTCTGCCTTCAGCTCAGGTCACCATCTCGGTCCTGGGATCAAGTCCCGTGTCAGGCTCCCTGCTCAGTGGGGGAGTTTGCTTCTCCCTCTCCCTCTGCCCTTCCCGCCCCGCCCCCCATACCACTGCTTGTGCTCTCTCAAATAAATAAAAGCACTTTTTTTTAAAAGTTGTAACATGGTGGCGCCTGGGCGGCTCAGTCGTTAAGCGTCTGCCTTCGGCTCAGGTCATGGTCCCAGGGTCCTGGGATCGAGCCGCATCGGGCTCCCCGCTCCGCGGGAGGCCTGCTTCTCCTTCTGCTGCTCCCCCTGCTTGTGTTCCCTCTCTCCTCGTCTGTCAAATAAATAAATAAAATCTTTAAAAAGAAAAAAAAAAGTTGTAACATGCTCCTGAGTTGTCTTTATAAATTATTGAACCTGAAGGAGTAGTGGGAACCCCCAAACTAATAGCCAGCTGGTTATGAGAGAGACCTGGAGCCCCCCCCCCCCCGCCAAATTTTTATCTGGGGTCTGAAGGCAGTCTTGTAGGAAGCTGTGCTCTCTGTGCTCTTAACCTATGAAGTCTGGCCTAATTCTGGGTAGCTGGTGTCAGAAGTTATTATAAGGGTACTTGCGGAAACCTTTAGCTGGAGGCTCTAACCTAGTCCAGGAGTCCGGGAAAGCCCTTCTGCTTATGTGATGATGAACTTGAGACCCTTTGGAAGACGGGAATTGGACCAAAGGTATGTATGCTTTTGCCAGGACTGGGGTGGAGGAGGGAGAGGAGTGTGGAGATGCATTATGTACCAAAGCAAATAATTGAGATTTACACAGAATAACACAGAAAGCTTCTCCTTATGCACTACAAACATTCTCATTCTTCTAGTTCCAAAACGTTGCCAGTGAACTTCAGCTGTTAGAAGTATATCCTGAGCCTCAGGTGTGTTGGAACAAAAGAGACTTGTCCAAGGCCACACAGATGACATGAGGCCTAGCACTCCACTCTCTTGAAAACTTGAACAGACTACATGGCCATTAGATTAAGACTCCTAGGGGCACCTGGGTGGCTCAGTTGGTTAAGCATCTGCCTTCAGCATGGGTCATGATCTCGGGATCCTGGGATCAAGCCCCACATCAGGCTCCCTGTTCAGCAAGGAGCCTGCTTCTCCCTCTGCGTCTCCCCCTGCTCATTCTTTCTCTCCCTGCTCATTCTTTCTCTTCCTCTCTCTCACCCCCAAATAAATAAAATCTTAAGAAAAAAAAAAAAAGATTTCGACTCCTGAATGAACAAAGAACTATCCCTGCGTTGTGCACAGTAAACATGAGGTAAATGTTCAGGTCACTCCTATGATATACCAGGCAACATGTTTATAGAAAGCACAGTTACAGCAACATTTGCGCCTTTTTATCCCTTAACCACTCTACATTTTAAAACACCTGTTGTAAAACATAAGCATAGAATCCTGAAATAGGAACAGCCTGGAACCCCCACACTTGTTTGTGAGTCAAATCATTAGTGAGTTGTGGAATACCCTTAGTGGATCATAACCAGTGTTTTTAATATAGAATTTAAAATATCAGAAAGCAGGGCATCTGGCTCTTGGTTTCAGCTCAGGTCACAATCTCAGGGTCCTGGGATCAAGCCCCCATCAGGCTCCCCACTCAACAGGGAGAGTGCTTAAGATTCTCTCTCTTTCCCTCTCCCTCTGTCCCTCCCCCTGCTCACGCACTCACATGTACTCTCAAATAAATAAATCTTTAAAAATATACATATACCAGAAAGCAACATGTATAGTAAGGACCAATACATGTCAGTTAAACACATCCATGTTTGTACTGGTCGCAAAGTAAAGTTAAAGCTACTACAACAGATCGTAATAAAAAAGTATGAGAACACTGCTCTAGTCCATGTCCCTTATTTCACCAATCAAGATATTTAGATAAAGAGGTTGACAGGCTTGTCCAACATCATGCACACACACAGCCAGAGCTGGGTCAAGAACAAGATGCCCCTACACTCCAGTCCAGGGCTCTTTACACAAAAACCTGGAGACCAAAAGGAGCACTCTATGTTAAAGACTAAAGTTATATAAATTTATATATATATACTATAAATTATACACAGTATAATAGACACTAATATACACACTATAGGATACCCACAAGAAAATTCTATACCATATATACTCTCCATCTACAGTGACAGTCTATACAGGCAAAAGCATCTTTATGTAAGTTTAACTGGGAATATATGCAAAAATGCTCAAGATTATCAAGGAGTAAGTATTTACTAAACTATACTTACGAAAAACTAGATTCTAAGCACCATAGAAGATGCTAAACATGAAATATCCAGTCTCTGGATATAGGAGAATAGAGCTCTGATTTCTACAATTTACATTTTAAAGAACCATTAGGTTTTCCTGGTGCTATGCCCAAAAGAAAGATTTTTTTAAATATCAGTAATAACTCACTCAATCCCCTTATTCACCTGATACACGTGGTATCATAGATTCTGCCTGCCTCAGATCAGCACCCCTGGATTTCTCCCACCCCCTTTCTCCTGCGCACAGATGCAGCTTGGTTAAGATTTGTGAGATGGGCAACAGCCATAGCATGAACTTGAACCCCAGGGGAATGCAATGATATTCTCTCCCCTTATTGAACTTTATACTTTGTGACTTAATTACCATATTTTATCAGAAAATATCCTTTAAATGGGATTTTTTGAAGGACTGTTTCATTCTATTGCATGACACTAATTTAAGAATCACAAGTTTTCCTGGGAGAATATTTTTTCAAATTAAAAAACAGAAATAAAAGTAGAAATTTGCTTGAGACACAGTTTTCCAAGGACTTCAGTAACAAGTTTAATTACTGGTTAAGAAATCAAAGCAACATTTCATATAATATTCTTGGGTTAGTTTATTACTAGGTTGATGAAAGAAAATAAAAACCCAGAACTCCACTTTTCACAAGTTCAAGAGAAAGGGAAAAAAAATTAGTGGCCATTATATAACAGCGCTTAAAACCCTTTCTTCTTAGGGATTGGGATTCGTGTTAGATTAGTATTTCGAGAGCGCCTGGGTGGCTCAGTTGGTTGGGCGACTGCCTTCGGCTCAGGTCATGATCCTGGAGTCCCTGGATCGAGTCCCGCGTCGGGCTCCCTGCTCAGCGGGCAGTCTGCTTTGCCCTCTGACCCTATCCCCTCTCATGTGTTCTCTCTCATTCTCTCTCTCTCAAATAAATAAATAAAATCTTAAAAAAAAAAAAAAAAAAAAAGATTAGTATTTCGACTCTGTCTAGGTCCAGTCAGTATTAAGGTGTGTGTGTGTGTATAGTTTAAGTTACTCACTTTAGTCTCATCCCAAGTAATTCTCGAAATAACCATGTGAAGTGTTAATTACATATTTCTAACTTACGCTAATATATAACCACTAACTTACACTAATACATAACCACTAAAATTCTAAGTGTTTACCCTAAGTCTAAAATCTTTAAAACTATACATATATCAGAAAGCAACATGTGTAGTAAGGACCAGTACTGTCATGTGCAACTTTCAGGTCAGTT